CCAAGTGCAACTGTGTTCAATACTGATTGCTTGAGTTGCAGCACCATAAGTAATTGCAAAAAATAACTTCTTAAGACATCTTCTCAAAACTGTATTACACGTATCCATCGTTTACAGTTTTATGATTTATTTCAAACGGTAAATATCCTACATCGAAAACTGCTTCTTCTAAGACTCAAATCAATTACGTAGATTGAAATCAAATACGCAAATACAGTAAATCATAGATACCAGTGCACCATATACATGAAGATACAAAATGAATGTTTCCTGTAAATTAATGCATTACAAAAAATGAACATGACTACACGTGAAGAAAAAGAAAGCTGAAAATCGAATCCACGTACAAGTACCGAAGTGATAATTAAATTTAAAAAAATAACAGATAATGACCTGATATGCAACACTGCACCTCGAATGTCACTGGTAAGCAATGAAAGTGATGAGATCTAGTCTTCCACAAATTTAGGTAATTGCTGAAGTGAACGAATGAAAAAGACTGCTTTGATGATTGTTATCCTTGTAACTGGATATCAGTAGTTGTTATCAGTGCGATAGTACTCGTTACTCAGAAACCGAAATTTGAATAAGTTGCCAGTGATAAGAATAAAGGTAAGGTGTGATGTCTTATTGACAAAAAAGTACTTAGCATCTTTCATCGCTAGAGAAATGAAATAACGACGACAGCAAACATAAAAGTAACAAAGACAATGTACACTGTCCAAAAACTCCACATAATCCATGTTGCTCTGCAAAACCTGAAATATTATTTCAAATACATAATCTAAATCCGTGAAATAAAAAATGATACTCATCCGAATACCTCGAATAGTTACGTCGTAAAAAGTTACTTATATATAACTAAAATTGATTAAACCGTTGGTTTATTCGATAATTCACATGATGAAAACTCACATAAAACACGAAAACATGAACATGATCATAGCCAAAAGAAATAACGCTGAATGATATTTTGACCATTCATTTCCAGTACTGTTCCGATTTTTTGATGATAAATATAAGCCAAATGAGATGAAGCACAACTGACAAAAAATTGAACAAGATAAAAAAAACCTGGAAAATTTCAGCCCTTATCAATGAACCAAGATTACTATGTATAGTGAGTTAGAGAGAAATAAAAATAGCATATTTGAGTTGTTAAAAATCAAGTCAATTTCTTTCCAACTATTATTTCACTAGATGAAGATCAGAAATTCACCAATCTACTCGGGGATCGGTCAGTAACGATAACGGAAGCTCGAAATACCAGAGAGTTAGAATGAAAGCGCAACACCAGAGAACATCGTCCACCTGTAATCAAATGGAGCGGAATATTTCGAACTTTATCATCAACTATATGACATTTCTTGTTCTCTCTATTATAACTATATTTTTCTAGCAATACTGAATCTCACCGAGCTGAATTTTGAATGATGAAACTTACCTGCAATTCAACCCTTATTTTCCTTTCCTGCCTGTGAGAATGAGTATCTAACGATGAGATTCCAGAATCGAAAGACTCTGCAGTACAATTTGTGTTTAAACGTCGCCTGCCATGAAGTAATCGTTTTCTTCCCACATCTCTTAACTGGTAAGATTGGAATGCCATCAATTTACAATTTTCCTAAATAAAAAGTTAAATAATTAAATATTGGGAATTTGAAACTCTATCAGAACTCCATGATTGAAAAATCATCGTTGTTATGCAGTACAATGCAAGCAAATGAGCTACATTATATCGAACCTTTGAACATTGCACCAGATTTCAAAGAAACTTGTCCATTACTAGAAAAATACAACTTACACTGTTTGTCAATAATTCAGAATTTACTCACCAAGCCTTTGACAAGAATAGTAAAATTCCATTACATTATCAGTTTACCAAATCCAGTATGCCTCACAAGCAGCATAACTCCTTGACCACATCAGCTGCTTTTCCATAAACTTATGGCTAGAGACATTTCGAGCTTGAATTCCATCTACACCTGCAACATCCCTAATAAAATTAACTCACGATAAGTCCATCTCTCCTGAGGAATGCCCGTATTCGTTCGTGCTTGAATTTTACATGACGTTATCAAGCAAGCAATCAACTCCACAGCTAAGTCAGTTTGCAAATGAACGTCATTCGGAATTTCCTTATACAGTGATAGATTATCTATGAAACTGCATTTACTTTTATTGACGGAAAAAAAACGCAGCAAATATTGAAGTAGTTCACTGCATTATTCATTCATTTATTACAAGATTCATCACGAAAATCATCATGATATTCAATCAGTGCTGATAACGAAAAACAAGTATAAATCAATGGGAAGGAGTAAAAAAATAAGACGCCGATTACTGAGCAGATATGCATTGTCAGCGAATTCTGAATAACTAAAGCCACAAGTAGTTTCAGTTGGCAGTTTATTACAAGGACTACAAAATTGAGAGAGAAAAAGTGTTAATTAGTAAATGACATCCCCCATATTTTACTTAAATTCGTGTTTTTGAACAATGAAAATAACTTTTAATATAGACAATCTTACTAGTATAAATTTCCCAACGTGAATATAGAATGCGATTCAAAAATTCTTCCCAATCCAAATACCCGTTAACTAAAGTTAAAATCCTTTGGTCTTGACTCCTGTTGCTTTTCCAGTTATTGCCATAAAAATTAAATACATGTTATTTATATTTGTTTCCATATCGCTATATTATTTAACAGATTTGGACTTCATCACAAAAATATAATATTTGTATTAGGTTTACAATGCCAAAAATTAATATTCATCATAATCGCCAAAACAATTTGAAAATAAAATGATAAATGAAGAAAAAGCTAAGGATATGAGAGATTTGAGCCTGGAATCGGAATACAAAGAAAAAGACCAAACAGTACAGGTGGCAAAACTTGAGAAGAGAAAAATCCACATAATAATCAGTTACGCATCTTAGTTTTCAGGTATTTATGTATACATCTCATTCCTATCGATAAAATTCTGAACATCATATGTACATAACAATCACTACGAAAATTAGCTTAATTAACGCATTGGACATAACTGAGATCAGGAAAAAATTGCTAATCAGCGCTCTGCACATATTCTTTAATAAACATGCGAAATGACGGAATGCTCTTGGATAACCGTTCTAAACACATATTGATATCCAATGAAAAATGCAACTAAGATTTAAAACATTTTTAAGCAGATGAAGAGGACACTGAGATATGACCCGAAGTAAATACTTCAAGTTGCTAGACTAGATCTTTTTTACAATTTCGAGGCATCGATTTCAAGCGACTGGACGAACGTACTGCTGATGCTCCATCATCTGAAAAGATCTATTACAGCGTCGATACAACAATTGTTTGCTCATGAAATATAGTAAAGTATTAAATTTTATCCTTATATTACATGTCATATTAAATTGTTAGCTCTCAAAACTTCCTGACCCCTTTAAAAAGAAAGTAAACACTATGGAATATTTGAGCAGTTTTTTCTGTCACCACAAAATGGCTTGATTTTCAGAACAGTAATCGATACCCATGTGAAACCTACAAAAAAATTACATGAACTTTGAGTAAGTGCCGAAGCACTAACGCCCATACACGGTTGGGAAGGTCGATTACTGGCGTATTCTGGGCTTTGAGAACGATCAATACGATTTGGAGATCTGCAAACATGTTCTTCCTCTGAATTTTCTTCATCTGCTTCCGACGACGTACAAAATACTGAGTGACTGTTGTCATTCATTAATGAAGACCTCTGACTATCATCATCTTCTTGACCTCGACCACAATTACTTACTGCAGCATTTCGATGAGCTTAAATTGTTTCACTCTAATGATAAATTCCTAGCAGAGACTAAACAAAAATGATTTTTTTTTTTTGAGGGAAAAGATCCAAGAGAGAATTGACGTGATAACAACATGAAATAATTCAGGTTTTCCAGATCTTTCAGAAATTATTACACCAAAGTTATGATAAGAAATGAAAACTAGCAATAAAAATCACTTATTCTATTTCGACTACTGGGTCTATTATTTGCAACAGACTTCTCATGTCCATGTCTCGGGCCATTCTCAAATAAAAGCGCATCGGAGACAGCATCATAATGCTCATGAACATCCATAACATGATTGCCCAATGAATTTATCACTTCTTTTGAATGCTGTAACACAAAAAAGTTAGATAAGAGCACGACCGCAATTATTTATAATTAGTGAGGTGTTTCCGAGAGAAAAAAATTACGTACAAATTAGGCATGCAATAAATAAAAATCATAGCGAAAGAGAATGCTTTTAAATACGTGCTCCCAATTTCTAATAGTACTCTCTTTTGCTAAAAAACATGAAAATCAAAAAATTATGAATTCATTTAAAAAGAGCACCATATTTTGCTGAACATGTGATGGGGGAGCATTAGGCGGAGGCGGTGGTATCATATCAAGTAATGTTTGCTTTGGAGGGCTTCGTCTCCCATTCGTGGTATTTCTTTTGTTTCGTCCATTTGAACTCCCTGACAATGAATGTGATACAAAAAAAATTGCCTAATACTTTTAGTACTTATAGTACTTTAGTACTAGATAAATTAAGTAGTTAAAACGAAAAACATAAAATATCTAGAATAAGCATCAGACGACTAAAAAACAAGACATCATATCATGATATGAATCCATGGGCTTAACTGATAACTGACCTCCAGTACCATCAGAAGACTGTACATAAGAAACATCAGTATGAGGAGGACTACCAGAATGATGCCCAAAAGTGCGTACTTTGGCATCAACAAATGGTGAGCATCGTCCGCCCAACGTATTATGTCTTCCACTCTCCTTGAAACGTGGAGGAGGACCAGCAGGAACCGGATTTGACGGGGGCATCGGAGCTCGAAGCATATGATCTTTTAACCATCTCTGCCTATTATTCATCACTAAAGTTGTCGTAGCATATGGGGAAGGATCATCCTAAAATGAATAATTTAGCCCTCTAAATCGCATGTAGAAAATTTCTGAATTAACATTCTCCCGAACTTGAACGGCTGAAAAAAACCCACATCAGATAACCACAACTGAATGCCAACAATTTCATGAGTAAGAGAAGTTTGAATTTATTCGCATCTGGTCAAATACTGGTTAAAAAACACTATAAGACGAAGAATTCTCTCAAGTATGCATAACTGAAATGAATATTGTTAATAAGCAGAATAAAGCGGCAACAAACCAAAACTTGATGACCGCCATAAAATGTTGACAAACTGGAAGCACCGCCACCTGCAGTAAGTGCAGCATAGTGATAATGATTAGGTGATTGAGTTCGATCTATTGTGCCTAACATGTGCGTGGATGTATCACGGTGCAACATCTGATTGTCCATAAAAAAATCTGTCTGATGAGGAGTTTGCGTATAAATTGGTGGACCATTGCACTGTGTTCCATTTACTGTACTGTTCAGTAGAGAATGCTGAGCTGAGTTGAAGTTAGGATGATCCATCCATAGCGCATCTCGCGTTGTTAGATGAACACTGCCATCATTGATTTTGATAAATGGCATACCTAACCGAGCTAAAAATCACAACATCTAGGGCCGAAATATTTCGTTCATGTGAAGTTCTGTAACACTGTCAATCTTAGTTTTGGCAAATTGTTTAACTTTATATCAGTTTACACTGCTATAAATTCAGAGAGTAACACAAGATGTTTATTTTACCAGTAAAACCTTAAATCTGATAGCTTCAGTCGATCACAGTCAATTCAATCATACTGAAAGGTAACAGACAGACATACTAGCAGCTTTACCCTTCGATTTTCGCCACCTCCACCACATAAAAGTAATTAAGGCAATGAAAGTGATCCAAATCAACACGCCCACAGTAGCAATGAACCAAGGCCTCTTAATAATGTGCAACAAACGATCTCGAGACGAAATTCCACTCATCAACTGGATATGCTCACGCAGTGTGGCTTCATCTAAACAATAAAACTATCAAAAATGAAAGAAATACTATTTAAATTCATGACAGTATCAAGTTTTCGAGTCAAGTACATACTCATAGTGACGGCTTCAAGACCATGATAAACTCCCACACCAGCGTTACTTCGTGCCGCAACTTTTACTCCATATGTCATTTCCGGTATCAAATGAAACAATGTGACACTTGCTGCTCGCTCGTTTGTTGTGATGTTCCGGTTATATTTAGCTCCACTACCCAGAACAATGATCTGAAAACCGAACTTCAACAATAAACCACAATGTATTTACCTCGTAATCTGTGGCAAATCCAACTACTGACCTGGAAACCTTTCAGTACTCCATTTATTCCGTTTGCTGGTGGAGGACGCCATGAAATTCTAAGTGTCGTTAAGTTCATCATTCGAATACGTACGTCTGTTGGAGGTGAAGTTGGAGCTGCAATAATACATTCAATGTTTGGTTTAGAAATATTTGCCCAGTAACTATCAAAGCTCCAATAATATATACTAATCGTAATTTGAATAACTACTCACAATTTAAAATATCCATGAAATACAACTCATGTCCACTTAATTTTTCAAGACATTTTACCGTTCAGATAATCTTACTTTAAATTGATTTGAGGAACAAAAACAATAAAATGCGTCTTACGTAAAGTATATATAAGCTTATAATCAGACCAAATGATATTCAACTCATTCTTCTAACCTGAATTTCCAATCCAAGCGCAAAATTACATTACCGACTAATCATTGCAATTATTATCTTCTAAAATGACAAAGATCTAGATAAAACACACTTTGCAGGCAAATTTTATTATTGACATGAAAAAACAATAGCATTAAAACTTACGAGCTTCACTAGTCGCCCCATTTAATGAGTTACTAGGCATTCCTTGAACAGTTTTATGATACGGAATCACAAAAAATTCGTAATTAGTAAAAGGACGCAAGCCATTTACAACGTAAGTGTCGATGTTTGGTTTAGAAATATTCACCCAGTGGCTATCAGTACTGCTAACACCAGATTGTTTCTGACCAACTGTCACTGGAACGGCTCTCCATTTAATATAATAACCTTCCACTAATGGCTCAGTTTTTCGACGCTGTAATTTAATTTAATGTCAAAACACACACACCATCTTTCCAGCTAACAAAAATTTTACTGCTCCGACCATCACATCTACTATAAATGCTATATAGAAAAGCAATCCCGGATTTGGATTCTAATTCCTATTTGTAGATAACATGATTACTACACTTCACATAGATTTATTTGAGACACTATCAAAGCGCACTACTGTTTTCTCATAAATTAATGAACAAATTTTATCATAAAAATTTCTTATTCTTCAAAGTGCAAAGAATATCACAGCGTAATGTCATCAATAAATAGTTTGATCTCACTTTCCAGCTTAATTTCACAGCAGTAGCATTGACTGTTACTGTTTCATCTAACTTTATCAACTGCTCCGATGCGATTCGTTTTCGCGCAGTATCTAAATCCATATTCGCATTTGCGAGTGCACGTTCATCTAAAGATTGGATCCGTAACAACTTGAAAACCGATCATAAATAAGGTTATCACGAGAATAATTTTTTTTATAAAAGCACGAAATGCTAGCTGTGCCAAAAATAATATATATATATATATATATATATATATA